AGGGTAATGGAGGTGGAAAGAGAATCCCAAGCAAGACTCCATCGATCATGAAGCACCCACTGAAGGGATCTCATATGGGCACGACCAAGGGGGACCAGTGATATCATTGATGACCACATCCTCAAAAGTGATAGAACCTTGTGAGCAGTAAGTGACTGAGCTGAGAGGGCATGGCGAACCAACAGTTCCATTGAATGAAGTTGGAAAGGAGAAGGCCAGGCCTGACTGATATGAGTGTTGAAAAAGACCTGCAAATGGAAAAGATATTGAGTGGGTCTGAGAAAGGGCTTCTCCAATTTGATCAACCAGCCCACCCAACCCACCACATTTTCTGCTGAGTATGACTGGCCGATTCCTTTTTGAAATGAGCCAGAGGAAGTCAGTCATCCATATAATAATGAAATCGCAGCCCCAGGACATGGAGCTGTCGAGCAAAAGCTCGGACTACTCAGCCAAATACGTAAGGTGCCAAGGTAAGTCCGAAGGAGAGGGCCCGAAATTGATACACCACCCCAAGATGGACAAATCAAGGATAAAGACGAGACTGAGGTGATATCAGTATATGTAGGTAAGCACTACAGACATCCATTTCGGTCATCCACAACCCCAGAGAAAAAGCCCATTTCAGGGTGATAAAAGACACCACAGAGAACCGGGTAGTGAAACGAAGCGATTGAGGCAAGATAAATTTATTACTGGCCACCAATCCCCAGTTTTCTTGGGGACAACTAAAAGCTGGGAATAAAAACACCAGGAAGGATGGAGAACAGGTTCGATGGTCTGCTGTAAGAGCAATTCCCAAACTGCTTCTGACAGGCACTGGCTGGTCATGGTATCTCAAGGAGGGGGAGGGAAGGAAACTGGACAATGAATCTTTGATCACTGACTGATGAAGGAATGCCGGCAATGTAGAGCGTCGAACAGCCGAACTGCCATCTGACCAGAACCCACTATGTAATCACCGGTACTGGTGGTGATGAGGGTGAATCGTCAAGCAAAGTGACGAGAGGAAGTACCCACAGTAGAAGGGACAGGTAAGGGCTGGGAAGGGGAAGGATGGGAAATGGTAATTGGAGGCATATGAGGCTCTGACTAAGACAAACGGGCTACAAAATTCACAAGGGTGGATTGTTGTTGGACCAATGTCATTTGAGGCTCTAGAGTTTCCAGGACTGTATCAAAAACATAATGCCTCAGAAATGGGGCCCATACATAAATCCCTAAGATATGTCAAGGGTAAAAAGACCAGAGCCAATACAGCATCATGATCTATAAGGTACCAACAACAAAGAAACAACATATGTAATGCCACAGCTGAAGACAACATGCGAGTTAAAGTGGAGGAGAGAAGGGCAAATGTATCTCCAGAAAACCCCTCACGATTTCTGTGGAGAGCCTCAGATAGGAGGTGTATAAAATAAAGATACCGTAATAGATGTGTAAAGGTAAGACACAAGCAAGAATATTGGGTATGGGTAAGACTGACAGATGATTTGGGAGCCACCCACCAACTAGGCAATAAGGAGCCTAACAACTGCTGGTCTAAAAATGGATAGTGCACACAATGGTAGGAAAGTGCAAACTGATCTAAAGTCCACATGTGGTGCAGCATGCTAATTCCCTTGCTTAATTGTGAGGCAAAGTGATCAGCATGAACCAAAATATCAGGTGAGGGAGGAAAACCAAAAAGGGTTGGAAAGATTATTCATGCAGAAAGGAAGGACGAGGTGCATAAGAAATAGAGGAAAGTAATAAAATGTCATAAACCTGAGACAAAATCTATTAAGACCGCATTAGGCCTAGTAGACTCATCGGGTTGGGAAAAGGAAGGAATGAAAATATCTGAGGTAGAAAAAGACTATCAGAGTCCTCATCAGTCTTCACAGGATAAACCTATTCTGGAGGAGCCTGGGCAATGTCTGGGGATAAAGACTGTCCCATGTAACGTCCAATCTCCCTGCATATAAAAGCAGATAAATCCACCATCAGATTGCCTAACCTGAGGCCTGAGAAAAAACGCTGGTTGCTGGTGTAGCTCCCGAACTGTTAATGTTAACTTCAGAATTCATTACACAGAAAATTTCACCTAATTCAAGTGCAGAAAATAAGGTGATTAGAATTAACTGATAAATACTAATAGAAGAAACAGGCTGAATGAAAGCAAATTAATTTAAAAAACAGCCACTTTGTCGAACATGAAGCATTAAATAAACAAAAGAGCATGTCCAAACACAAGCGCTGCCAAACAAGAAGTGATAGTTCAGTAGAGAAGTGTAGAGGGAGCCACATGCACCACATGAGCATGTCATGCTCCTATTGGTGATGTGTTGATACATGATGATTTGCATGAGACACATGTTGAAATCTTGCAATTCCAATAATAGGATAGGGCATGGGTAAAGAAAATGTTTGCATATAAGGGCAGCAATGAACGAGAATAGCTAATCTTGTGAGAGGGGGTAAGTACCATATCGGAATCATTCAATCCCTGATACTTAAAAAATTTGGATAGTTCAAGTTATATCCTACATGTATAGCAATTTTTAACTTATTCCACCTTATAAGCTTTTTAATCCAGGAGAATATATACAAATCTGAATCATCACTATTGCTAATATTGGCTAATTCTTTTAATAATTGCATATTTTATCGAGTTGTATTAAGCTATTGTGAAGAGAAGTACAATGGGTGATCACTAAACCCAATTTTGAAAAGCAGACTATACCAATTTATTCAATCTAGGCATGGCAGGGATTGGCAGCAATCCCCTTCTGCTTTATCCATGCCATCCATGGATGGTAAAGTCTGGGACAGGCATATTATAAAGCAATTATCATGAGAAATTTACACTCTCATGATCTTGTGAAACACCCCATCTCAAGGGTGGGCATATATAGCCCTGTGGTGGTTAAAAGGCCAGTCAAATCAACTGGGTCCATATAGTTGGGTAGAGAAAGTTAGAGATAAAACAGTTATACTTATAAAAAAAATTTTGATATTTATTTAGGAGGTTTTATGAAAATTTTCAGATGAATAAAAGTATTATTATTCTCAACATGAATATCATTTTGCACTCAGAGTAGTCAACACTAACTCCATATATTCATGAACAAATCTTTAGTAAAAATACCTAACTAATAAATCTGATATTTTGTGTACAAAATATTTTTAATGTTTACTGAAAGCTTGCCATATTTTGTGAAGATACATTTACTAGACTAAATGTTATAGTATGAATACTCTCATGATTAGTTGATGGTTACAAGGCCAGTAGTGTAATCCACTCAGTATAGCAAGAGTTAATCAAGTGAAAGCACACTTTTGATTGTATTTTATACAATTAGCAGAATCAAAATGTTCTCTTTAATCTACAGAAATCCTCCAGCATTACATTTTAAATGATTTCTCCAATATTTAAACAATAATATCCAACTTCTAGTACATTAGTGACTAGTGTTGTGTAAAATAATCAGCAATTTTTCTGGTTATTTTTCTTTAGAAAAGCTAATCAATTATTGTGACCAGACCAGACAACATAAGAAAGACCAAAATCCTCCCCCCCCCCAAAAAAAACAAAATTGCCATCAAATAAATTTGGGATAGTGACAGCTTTGATCTTGTGCAAAATTCTAAATGCAAACAAAGACCTTTGATCAGTTAATAAAGTCAATGACTTCAGGTCAAAATATAAAGGACCTTTTGTAAAAGGTCAAAACAAAAAAATATCTTCAATGACTATAAGATTGAACACATATACATTCTTTGGCATTGGATCCACTGAGAATTCTATAAAGGTTATTTCGAGGTAGAAGGATCTGTATTATCACTATTGGACACTTGAATGTTCTGCTTACCTATGATGGCAAGAAGAAAACTGATCTTACAAAGAAACAATATAGCAGAAGTTGTTAAAAATAACATTTGAGTATGTCCAGTTGTATCGTTGCAAAGATATTGAACTTTTACTTTACTTTCTTTGTAATGTCAAATATTTTCATAGTATTCATTATCTATGTCAAAAAATAAAGCTCAAGACCAGACTTTTATCCATTTTTATCAGTTTAATAATCAAACTGAATCACTTGTTATTTTTTGACTTGTAGCCAATAATTTGTCTTCATATGAAAGTTAATTTTCATTTCATGCATGAAATTTCTCATAAATGGATCACTCATCTGATCACTAACTTTTAAAGTTATATCATGTTAAATTACACACCCAAAAAAAACAACCTTCCTGCAACATCATGCAGTAGGAGCAAACATTTCTACAACAGTACAAGTGCAACTGCTGCTATCCAAGAGGAGAAAATTTTATGCAAGCTTTCACTTCAGTTTTCATTGATGAACAGACAAATTAGGTAATGAATGTCAGCAGTCAACTTGGAAAATGCATATATTTATTTTGACGTCTTAAAACACAACAATAATATTTACTGGGTTCAAAAGTATATACTGGGATTGACTAAATATTGGACAGTAAACTCGTATATGTACCAGAAATAAGAAAAAATATCGACATAAACTGATAAAGCTCAAAGTCTCAACTTAATAATAAGGGAATTCTAAGATAACCCGGAAGTAAAACTAAGAGTAAGACTAAGAGAGACCAACAACGCTTTACCCCAAAGTTTGGGTAAATGACGCGAAACAGCCCCTCATGGAGAGTCTGCCAGTGTCACACGAAAGCTGCTAGAACTTATTCAATTGATGAATCACTCGAAGCCAATGGGAGTTATTCACATCATAGTTAGACAATAAATTACTAACGATAACAACACTAAAAATTAATACGGAAAGCATATACCATTACTGTTACTTGAGTCACTTTTCTTGGGTTATTCCTAATTTCTGCAGGCCTATGCTAATACTAATATTACTAATATGAGTTTTCTTATTTTAAAAGCTAATCAGTTCAATTGGTAATACTATGATAGAAATCCAATATGATCTTATAAGAGTAATACGATAGTTACTTTAATTCCTATAACAAATTCTTACTGCTTAACATCTCTCCTTAGATTTCCTCTCCCACTCAAACTTCAAAAGAACTAAACATAACAAACACGTTAACAAAGTTTACCACTCCCTTTAGAGCGCTCTCTAATGGACTGATTATAATTATTGAAGAAAGTTGCTTTAAATCACTCGAAAATGTTGTACGCAAAAAGAAACGTTGTTGTAGTTTTCAATACCAACTTAAAAAACACTAATGGCAAAATTTTTGTTGATCAAAGCTATAGACAGCTGAGCTTTTAGTATTTTTCTTCCTCTTTTATATTAAAAGGGAAGATATTGCAAATATCCTTAACCCTGAGAATTCTATGAGTATATGATCATTGACCAGAACTACACAGATATTAAATCCTTTGTTAGGACGGCGGAAGTCACGTGACTGTAGTAACACGTCATGAACTTCTAGTAGGATCCTATCCCTTCTTGAAGCCTCGGGAGACTACTAGATATGCGGTAGTCTTATATATATAAGACCGGTAAGAACTGACGGCAACAATGTAATGTGTAATTGACAGTTGAGTCGAGCACGTGAGATGTTCGTTGTGAATTATAGCGTTTGTTATAGCGCGTCTGTGGAAATTAAGTGTATTGCAAAGTTATATTCAGAAAGAATAAACCAGTTTTATTTAAG